TGCAAGTAATCAACTGTTGCATTATTTTACAAAAACAAACATATAAAGGAATTGTTAAGAATTCTGGTTAAGGGGTATCTCACATTGTAATGCTTTGTCACAAGTCTTTAATTTAATATGGTTTGAAGTTTTGGTTGTCTAACTTTTATTTAAAGATAGAGAAGGAAACCTGCTAATTGTACTTAATTTGCACAGGTGCTGGGTTTTAATTGAAGATTCAATGATAATCCTATGAAATAACAAGGGCTCTTGTGGTGCAGTGACAGTGTTCCTATCCCTTACCTGAGAGAACTACTGGGTTCAAGTCCCTCCTGCTCGAAATGTGTGTAATATCTCCGAACATGTTGATTAGAAAAATAGGTTAAATGCAAAAAAAAAATTCCTATGGATATTAATAAAGGATATGGTTATTATAAATAGGAACTTACTGAAATGATGATGATTAGTTTAGGAAGTACATGTTTGATATGTATATTTCTGTGAAAAAAAAGCTTTTGAAATTGTTTAAAAATTCAACTTCATATTAAACACAAACTATGGAACTGATTACATGCAACCTGAATCAAACTCCACACCCTAATTTATTAGCTTGTTGCCTGAGTTTTACGAAAATTCCTTTCATTCAAAAAATCATATAAAGAAAGATAAGGTCGTGAACAAAAAATAAAAATAAAGTTCCCAAATGCTAGGAGACCCCCAAGACCTTCATCACCTGCTTTTCTGGAATAGAACATATGATTTGGAAGTGTTTGGAAACAACTACTGACTAAATTCTAATACACTATCAATAACCATCTGACTATCTGAGTTTACAGACACTGCTCCCTGTTGCTCTAAGCAAGATTCAGGCAGCTTAACAACAAATTTGCAGCACCGTTTTGAATTAGAAATGACACTGCAAGACCATTCAACTTGACAGCGAAATCCTCTATTCAATGTAGCGTTGGTGAAATGAAAAAGGCAGTGCCAAGAAATAAACTTATGGATTATGCTGTTATCACAAATCAATGCTCAATTCTGGTTTTCTCCTAAAGCCTGAAATCTTCATAAGTAATATAATAACATAGTATGCAAATGGATATGGTTTAATGTGTTTACTTTAGCTATCTTGTTAGAGAGCAAATTATATGTAGAACACTTCGGTTGATTCATAGGACCAAGGGAAAAACCAGCTTCCCAGTTTTACATATTGTCAACTCTCTTCTTCTAATTCTGTTCTTGAAGTTAGCTGGCAGCTGCAGTCATGCTAAAATTGTTTCCAAGAAACATGCACTAAAATGTGAATAACTATTTGGGTTGTCTGCCATCATTTTGCATCTTGAGAGTTCTGTTGGATTCGTGTGCATGGGTGAAGCACAAATGGTCTTGATTAAATGGACCTTCAAGACAATCATTCGGTCGATAAACCTAGAATGCAGGAATAAAGATCTTTGGATATAATGGCAGAGCTGTGTCTTCTGAAACTGTACCCACCCAAGTGACTGCCTTCAAGAAATCTGGGGGTAGAAAGAAGAAATACAGATGGAAAATTAAAGGGGTAGGCATTCAAAAATCAATACTGAAGGATAATACAGAACTTTATAACATCAACGTCACTCATCACCCCTGATCATTCAACCAACTATTTATCTCCTTATACTCCTTTGCTGTTTTTCACTGGCTGCCTACAATTTTTCCTTTCCAATCCAGCACCTAATTTCCTTTTGAAAGTTTAAAGTGATTTACTTCCATTGACCAATGGTATTTTCCCCACATGACTACAGTTGGCACCTAATAGTATTTGCCACCTTCATCAGTATGTGGTACTGGGTATGGGTTGTTTGGAGTAGTTCACTGCCACCAAACATCCTTCGTCTTTGCTTTGTCTTGGATCTATCTAATGAACAGTGATAGAGGATACACCACTAGGGTATCTACAGAAGAGTCTGTTCCTAGAAAACAGAAAGGTTTATTGCATGATAACAATAAGAACATTTACATTTGCTCAGGCATTATTACTAGAACCTTAGGGAGCTGGTACACCCTCTGAAAGCTAATGCAGAACAACCCATTTCCATCTACAGACTGTGTGTGACACCAGTAGAACGAGTGGAGCCAATGAAACAAGGACATTCATGTGTTCAGAATGATTACCTTTTCAAACTCGCACTTTCAAGCATTCCATTCTAATCTTAACAATTCACTTTCTAAAAAAAATTCATCTTGTCTCTAACTCTTTTGCCAAAATGCTAATGTTGTCTTGTACATTACAAAATCAGAAATAACAGACATCTTAGGCACTAAGGTTCTTGAAAGACATCTTATGTAAGTGTAGACTACTATACTCAACATTTTAATCAACTTTCCACTACTGTCTCACAGCTGGATCACTAGTTAATGACTGTGTTCTGGTTCCAGCTTTTCAACACAGGTTGCATGAATCTGATCTTCTCTTGAACCCACTTAAGGAAATTTTCTTAACTGGGCATTTTCCTCTAATGACTCCGAACTCTTTAATCTTTTGAGTAATGTATCAAGCATCAGTTTCCTGTTAAAATGTTGAATAAATATTACAGTGACAGGGCTTGGCACGCCAGATAAGTTCTGTTAAATTAGTCAATGAGAGTTTGTACACTTTTGTCAGGGAATATGATAAAGGCAATACAAGAAGCAACATCCAGAACGTGTGAAAATAAGGGATAAGAAAAAACTGTTGTCAATTGAGCCTGTCCCATACATTAAAGGTGCACCTTCACAATATGTCCTGTATAATCTTTTATTTCCCTTTTCATTCTCAATAGCTAAGCAATTGTCTGCAACATGCAAAGGGAAAAACAGGATGGGGGATTTCAAGACTGTGGGGCATATTTTCAAGGTGAGAGGAGAGAGATTTGAAAAAGTCAATTTTGTTTTACATAGAGTGGTTCACGTGTGGAATAAACTTCCTGGGAAGTGGTGGATGTAGGCACAGTTACAACTTTTAAAAGACGCTTAGCTAAATACATGAATAGGAAAGGTTTGGGGGGATATGGGCCAAGAGCAGGCAGGTGGGACGTTTAGTATGCAATTATGTTCAGCATGGACTGGTTGGATGAAGGGTCTGTTTCCATGCTGTATAACTCTATATCTCCATGAGGCACAAATGAGGAAATGAAAAATTAGGAAGTTTTTTTTCTGGTCCTTAGAGTTCCGAGAGGTCACACTGGCCTGTTTACACATTGACCAATGCCGCAATGCACACAGCAATGTTGGCATGGAACTCATCCAGCATCTTTCTGAATGCAGGCAACCTGGTCTAAAAGATCACTAACTTTCTGGGACAAAAACCGGCTGTCCACTTTGCAAACCAAATCTGTGTTTAGATCACTTTTAAGTTTTTCTTTTAGTTCTCCTTAACTGCCTTCTCTCAGATAGTTTATTGATTCAGATCAAGTCCAATTCTTTCATTATTTAGAAGATCTAAATTTAAGTTTCCTTGAAGGCCCATGCTTCTTTTTAGAAAGAGTTTCTAAAATTCAAAAATTCAAAATTTCTACAACTAATCAGACAAGCCTGTTTTCACAAATTATGTGCTCTTTATTTTTGCATTTTGAATGCTGCACCTGCACCATTATCTCCAATAAGTTTAATGTAGTTTAACTAAGGACATTTAGCATGGTTTAATCAAGTAACTTGCAAAATAGAATGGTTATTTTATATATTTTATAGTATTTTTCAAAATGTTTTTCATTTTTGTTGCATCATAACATACTCTTAAACTGCTATCTGTATGAATGCACTGAAAATATCTGATGACTTAAACAGTTTAAAGCAGTAATGTGCGACATCACGAAGTCCAAGGATAAAACACTGGAGGACATCTGGCATTGATGGAGCTCAGCCACCATCCTCCAGCCACTGTGAAGAAAATTATTTTATCACATTGGGAGGGGATAGTGGGACAGAGAAAAGAGTTTGAGCCTCCATAAATGAAAGATAAAATTAGCTGCATCATTTGCTTCTCCTTTGTACGAATCTACTATTGCAGCTGGCTGAAGTTCAGTGGGATAGATTTACAACCTTCAAGAGAATTCAACAGCTGATCTACAGCTCTAGTTTTACACCATGGAAACAAGTTGAAAGCATGTACAGCGCACACTGAAAATGCTCCCACAGCTTCTCCAGATAGTCCATGACATACAGGAGATATACACCAATGCATCATTTTTATTACGAGTGGATCTTCTGTGACATTAGTCATAGAAAGTTAGTGTATATATTATTTTGCTACCTTTGTAACTACTTCGAAAGACTGTCTGTGATGACTTTAATTATCTCATATGCATTAATGTGGAAAGTAAGATTTTACAAAAAAAAGGATTTATTAATATTGCCAAGGACAATGAGAAGTCTGGTTTCTCATGCACAAAGTGTGTTGATTTTTGAGATGTACGTGATCACAAAGCACTGAAGACAGCAAGAGGCAGAAGGGAGAAGGGAAAGGAAAACAAAAAAAGTGTTGAATTGGGGTAAGAGACAAATGATACAAAGAATGGGAGGGAAAGACAGACAGACAGACAGACAAACAAACAGCAAGAGAGACACAGCAAGCTACAATGGTCTAACAGGATGTAAAGCATTTGACTTCTTTTTGCATTTCACTATTATTTCCTAAATGCAGAACTGGACTGTTTCTCAAGATTTCATGTTTCACCTAGGTTACACTATATGATGACATCTGTTGTGATGACATCACAAAAGACCATAGTAACTACAAATCCTGTTCCCTCTAAATTACATTTGCTTTAAGACATGCCAAAGTATTTCAAATTCAGTTGGTTCACAAGAAGATTTAGAAAGCTGAGAAAACCAAGAAGAAGTCCATCTTTTTCACTTTTACTCCAATTTATACTAAGAAAAATTCAAAATGCCCCTGAATATGAAAGGGTGAATGATATTGATCTTGAAGAAAAGCCTCTTACTGTGGCTGAACAGCTACAGCTGGGGCGCTACTGACACTGAAGAAGAAAGAGAATTGGTACCTGATCTTCATGTAACTAATAATGGCTTTGCCTTGGTCGACGGTAAAGAATTCCCCATCATCACTCTTTTCTGAGCTTGACTGAACAATTTTAGCCATGATGTTCTTGAGTTCTTTTAAATTATCTAGCAATGACAAGCGTTTCTCTGCAATAAAACACAACACTGAGTGATTGACCGATTCTCTTAGAAGATAATCCGTTCCATATAAAATGAAGAAGCATTAAGAAGACAGCAACAAATATTTTTGAAAGCTTGTTTTATCTACCACCAAATTAAAGATGTACCTTTTATGAATGTGGCATCAAAATCTTATTAATTCACCTATCAACTGATAAGGTTGGCATGATTATAATCCTTCCATTATCTTATTCATTTGCTCCATTTGGAGTATTCTTTCCTTGCAGTTGACTCTGATGTCAAATCCATGTAAAGAACATTCATCAAATCGCACTGATGGCAATCCAGACAGTGGCTGAACTACAAAGACAAAAGATTCCCAGGTTTGACCTTTAGTTGGGTCTTGGACATGTCACTACAACTGACTTCAATGTCATTCAGGGAGTGGAAAAGTCAGCCAGGGAACCTGCTCCCTAATTCTTATTCAGTAAGCCCTGTTAGAAGGTTCATTGTGTGAATGAGGTCAAAATTAGACTTGGCTCTAAAGCCCTCTCAGTCCAACTGCAGGACATTAGGTGTTGAGGTTCTTAATGTCCACATAGACAAGATATCAGAAGTTACCAAGTGACCAAGAAATGCTACTCTAGCAAGGTATCAAGAACTTTGCAAAATGCAAGGAGTAGTGGTAAGAAACCTAAGATGATATAAGAAATGAACGTTACTGTTTTAAAATTCTTACACATAATGAAATTCTGCCATTTAGACTAACAGCAGGTTAAAACTACACAACAGAGTTGAACAACTTTTAGTTTAACACTCCAATAATCTCCTGAAGAACTGCTACACTCGAAGTGCTATTTTTCAGATAACCAAGGCGTATTCTGAACTTTCAGTGCTGCAAAATGAGAAACTCCGTGGTCTACAATACCAAAAGTCAACTAGCCCATCTTCTTGTCACACTCCTCAATTTCAGCTCTGTCCAGAGCAGATCTCTAATTGCTATTTAAATCCAATTACACATCTACTTAAATGATCTTTCTGGCAACTTATTCCACAAATCTACTGCATTTTGGATGGGGGAAGCTCTCCCTAACTTTGCTTCTTACTACTAAATTCCTATTTTTAATATAATCCTGGCATTCGATCCCGTCAACAAAGAAAACAATGTATGGATGCCGACTTTTGTCAATTTCCTTTTTAAGCTTAAAGGTATCAGCCTTGGCCTGGAAGTAGTTTTCTTAAGTTTCACTCCAAGACTTCAACAAAGTCTAAGTATGCCTCTCAGGTGGGTGCAAAATATTTAACAACACAATGTTGGGATGAAGGAGAATATGAGAGAAATGGAAGAGGATGAGAGAATGAGAGAGAAGCACACACTGAGACAGACAGAAGCTGGCACAGGAAGGGGAAAGCCATACTGACACAGAAGTGAAGGAAGAGAAAGGAAGACAACCACAAATGTACAATGAATTAAACAGATATGAGTGGAAAGTGCGTGAAAAGTAGCGGAGACTGAGGCAGAAGTGGAAGAGGAGCTGAAGAACAGAGTATGAAAGATTTATTGACAGACTTAGCTGCTGCTAGAAGTGTTGGAGAGGCTAACAGCTTTTGGTGGTGTGTGCCTGATTTTTAAAGTTTGCTGTTACATGTATTCAGTGTTGAGAATGCTAAGGAAGTGAACTGGAAGCCAAGCACCCCCAGTACTTCCCATTTCTGAATGCCTGTGTGTGCCCTACCTCCTTGGTGCTTCCCTTTCCTGAATGCCCCAGTAATTCTGGACCCTTTCCCAGTCTGACCGGCTCCCTCTTCCCCAGAACTCACAGTATCCACCTACACCCCATGAATCCTTCCAGTGAACTTATGTACTTTCAAGCTGTCCTCTTGTCCCAACTCCATTTTGTTTAGACTTTCTCAACTCGTCACCCAAAGTCGAGCTGTTCTCCAAAAGGTCTTTGAAGCATCAACCTTGAATCCCACCAAGCAATCCCACATACCAATGTGCCCAAATCCCAAACCACAGAACTATACCTCGGCATAAGCAAAAACGATGTAGAGAAGTATCATCTAGTTCTAGTTTCACATGCTCCTTCGACATTCTTTCGCAGGCTGCAGCCCACTCCTTCCACGCTACAGCTTCACATCTTTATTTCCTCACTCAACCCAGCTTATTTCTTCCTTTTGTTGTGGAAGTGATGGAGCAACATCAAAGTCAAACATGTTCATTTCTGACTGACCACCAACAGATGGAGCAATTTCTCTTATAGAGATACTACTAGGAAAGTAAACTTTTTAAAAATTCAAAATCCTCTTTACAAAGCAAAAATGCACATTCAAAAGGCCACTAGTTCTATAAAAAGTTGTTAATAGCATTAAACTTTATGGGACTAATTATGAGGGAGAATTATTTCCAAATACCATTTCTATGATGATCCTGGGATGTATTCTGACATTTCAGGATAGCATCTGAGGAAAAGAAAAAAAGTGTTCCAGACTAGTTTGTTGATTAAGTCACAATAATCATGGCTGCAGCAGGAAGCCAAGGATTTATCTCATTCTTTTCATGGAAAGAAAGACTTGTGTTTAACCAGGTTTCTTATTATGTATCTCAGAAATGTCTCAAAGCATTTCACACAAAACTAATCATAATTAAATATCATGACTATGGTTATATATGCCTGAATGGTACCTACTAATGGATGAGGGGGACAGCAACATATTTTCTAATTTGATTAGAATAAGTTTTCATTAATTGCCTCTGATCTTGTTGATCATTCATCAACTTAGATAATACTTACCACCGACATTCGCCAAAATGGTTTTCAATAGAGTCATGAACGTAGATATTTGTATCATTGTGAAGTTCTGTTCTTTTGCCCACCAAAACCCAGAAACATAATAATCCAAGAGGATGCCTTGTTTCATGCAATACTCGAAAAGGCTGAGCTGTAGAATTTCCGCCAATCTTCTTTCATGAATAGAGAGAAAAAAGAAAGTTACAATACATCAAAACAACATTCTTCAGAAAACAAATGCAGGGATAACACACACCCACAGATTATTTCCAGCATTCTCTATTCTTATTCACAATCTATTTCTGGGGGACTGATGAGAGGTTAATGTTGGCCAGGACTCTTAGAGAGATCCTCACCCTTCTTCAAATGTGATCTGGGATCGTTACATCTGTCAGAGAGCAAATGAAACCGTGTCTCAAAAACGATACCTTGACTATGGAGTAAAGCATTAATGTAAATCAGTCAATAATATCACTGACGATATAATCATGACATAAGCTGAACAGTTGTACAGTTTGAGATGGAAACTGAGTGAGAAAAATCTCGACTATCATAATGTAAATATTGTGAATAAAGAAGTGGAACTGCTTTATCATGCTTGCGTCCAAACTACTGGTAGAATAAAGCAATTTAGGATTACCAAGCAAATCAATACCAAGGGAACTGGGATAAACCAAGTGTAAGATCAAGGATGCACAAGACTAGGTGCAGAAATTCTTGCTCTGGTCACTCCCATCCTAAACCATTGGATAATAGATGGTCTTTCGCAACAATGGACCTAAGTCAGTTGAATAGGGTCTGAACTTTCAATTTTTTGACTCCAAGGTGAGAAAAATTACAAAAGTAATCCAACATTCTAAAAGTAGAGTATATTAAATTATTTATATATAGAAGAACTGACATCACAAAACCCATGAAGCACAAGATAAAGCACTTGTGTGCTATTTTCATTGATAGAACAATGGGCTGCTTTAAAGAAGGTGGCTGGGGTACAAGTGTGTATGTTAGGTCAACCAAAGCTGGAGATCACTCCTTCGATGGGTAAAGTGACAAACAGTAAGATTAAGCACAAAATGACATATGACAGATGTTAAGTTGATAACACCAATGCCAATCATGAGGAAAAGATAGACCATGAGAACAGACCAACAGGTAACATATAAAATAACCAAAAGGCCGATGGTCGATTAGGAACCAAACAAGGAGACTTAAAAGTGAAAGCAGAGGATAGAACTCAGGTACTAAATTAATATTTTACATGTCCCTACTGTCGTAAAGTTGGATAGAGTACTTGTAAATTGGAAGGCAGGAAGTTAGAATTTTATGTTTGTAAAATCCTAAGGGAGAAGTAATGCATGATCCCTTTAAAAGATTATGTGCTTTTTCCATACTTAGAGATTTAAACAAAATGTCTGTGGGCAGCGGCTTTGGGTTTGCAATGCACAGAAAGCAAACTGAACATGTGTATCAAAAAGCTGTACAACTAGCAGGCCAAGCCGCAGTTTCGTTTTGTTGTCAAGACAACTAGTTTTGAGCCAAGCAATTTGAATCAGGCACTTAGAGACTAAAAAACCAATTAAATTTAAATCTGATGCTTTGACAACATAGGACCAATCTTATTGTAAGAAATTGATATGTCATCAAGGGTATAAAAGGAGGGGGCAGTTGGAAAATCAGGAGAGTCAACTGCCATCTGCCAGAGTTCGCTAGCTCTCACAATCTTCTCTAAGTTTTAGAGAAAGCACCATCTAAATCAGAGGTACCTAAGGCACAACTAGTTAATATTTCTCACAGAAGAATTCGATGGAGAAGACATTCCTGACAAAACATTCGACGGAGAAGGCACAGGACATTCCGGAAGACATAACCTGGCTTTAATTTTGAGAGACTAACATCTGTTTTTTTAAAATTTTGTTTTATATAAGTGGGACTTATAACAGGATACCATTAGAATCTTGTTTTATTTCGGAATAGTTAGTAGTTAGAAGGGGTTTATTTGGTTTGTTAATAATTTAGTTAGTTTGTTCACTGTTAGAGTTAGATAAATAAATTGTTACTTGTTGATTGTAAAGTGAGTGTCAGGGGTTTATTTTATTTAACCACCAGAAGTTGCAAAAAAGCAGGTTACGCCACTTTTCACACTCCTTTTAACAGATTATAGAGTGAGGCACTCCTTTCTGAGTTTTTCGGTTTTAGTTATCAGAGGGGGGTCAACCTCTGCTTTATAATATTTGCCAAGGAAGACAGTACTCGCCTAAGTCACAGTGAAATCAGATATAGCTGAGCTGAAAACTCGATTTAGAAAAGATGTTAGAAAGGCCATCAGTGCTTTAAGTGGATAAATAACCAGGATCAGCAGGGATACTTCTAAGGATTCTGGAGGAAGCAAAAGTGGAAATTGCAGTGGTAATGGCCAAAATCTTCCAATTTCCTTCAGCTATGAGGATGGCTCCAGAGTACTTGAGAACTGCAATTATCATCGATATTTTTAAAATCAACCTGCTCAGACATGTTACAATACATGTCTGGCCAGGTTGGACCTAAAACTGGACCTTTCGTCCAGATGTAGGGGTACTATCACTGTACCACAACAGCCCTCATTTGCAATTGTGATATCCTTGTTCAAAAAACGATGTAACAATAAATTCAGTAGCCAGAAGGCCAGTCAGTTCAATCTCAGTTTTAGAAACAAAATTAACATCTAACTGAACAAGGGTGGATTAATTAAGGCTAAATCAGCAAGGCTTGCTAAAAGAAAATCAAACATAATTAATATAAAGGCAGTCCTCGATTTACAAACATGTGACATACTTACTCATACGCACTAACGAAATCACATACAGAGGTATATTAATATTAATTTTAAAGATCTGACAGGCAAACATTTGTTCATACTTACAAATGGCTATTTTATATTTTACGGTACTGTGTTCTGAATTGTGTACAAATCGACTTAGGAATGTACTCGAATGGATCCATTCATAATCTAAGGATTACCTATTATTGAGTTATCTGAAGAGGTAACAAAGAGTGTGGTGAGGGTAACGTGTTTGGTGCATTACATTTGGACTTAGCAAAGGTAACTGATCAGTGCCACATGATGGGCTGTAACTTTGCTGACAAACCTACGGAATAAAAGGGGAAGTGGCAATACAAATACAAAATTGACTGAGTGAGGAAACAGAGTAGTGGTTAATGATTGCTTCCCCAGGTGTAGGTACTTAGGCCAGTGCTTTTCACGATATACATTAATGAATTGAACTTCACTGCACAGGGGACGAGTTTAAAATTTGAAGATGAAACAAATATTAGAAGTCCTGTGAAGAGGACAGTGATGAACTTAAGAGGAAGTGGCCTGGTGGAATGGGCAGACACATGGCAGATACAAGTGAGTGTAAAGAAATGCAAAATGATACTTTTTGGTGAGAAGAAAATTCATAGCATGAACAATTCTAAGTATAGTAGAAGAAGACAATGTTTGAGGTCAACATGGAGAATGCTTCATAGAAGGCACTGTCTCCTTCATCAATATTGCTGCATGTGTAACTGAGTACAGAACTAGATCTAATTCAAGATGATAGACAAACAATTTAAAAGTTAGAAGTATACTTGGGCCAATATGACCAAAATCTACCTTCCGTTCATGGTGAAAATGAATCAAAAAAGGAGTCAAAGATAAAGGCATGGCACTGGTAATTTAATCAGTTAAATTAGGTGAAAGGAAACATATGACACATTAACCGATCTGTCATTTCATCCCTCACCCAAACCACCAACAAGAAACAAGACAACAGATAAATGAGAGAAAAATAAGGCATACAACAAGTATATTCTAACTGGTAATTAAGTGACAAATGCTGAGGTCTTTTCAATTAAAAAAAGAGCAAATATGTAGTTTTAAAAACAATAGCAAATTCTAAATCTAGAGCAGTATACAAAATAAATTTTGAGTCATTCAAAATAATCCAGAAGAGACGTGAACAGAGATCAGGTAGCAAAAAGGAAATATCTTCAAGCAATTCTCAGTAAAGATGAGGAGAGATAACGCTTTTACACACATGGAAAACTAAGATAGTCAAATAAAAGATGGGAACAATTAGAGATTATATGGTTGATACCAAAGTCCTTAATAAATAGTTCTACAATGAAAAGGGAAAATAAAACTCTAATATATCCAACTGGAATAGTAAATAAGGCACCACTGGAGAAATATTCAAAAGGAAGTTTCATTAATAAAAAGTTAATGGGAACGAGAATTTTTAAAAAGTCAGCTAGCTCAGATGGTGTGCAAACGAAATATTAGAGGTTAGGATGAAAAATCTCAGAGGCACTGACTGGACTTTTCCAAATATTCGTCGACAATATAGGCCTCAACTTTCACTTTAGAGGCAGGGTAAAGGAGACAGGCCTGTTTCATAATCCCACACCAACCTACAGGTGGATACAATCACTGAGCTGAGATTTTGACCATGGCATCCTGTTTATTGGCATGGACAGAGCATTGTTAGCCAATCAAAGGCTTTCAGTGCAACAGGAGCAAAAGGTTGCAGCAAAGGGTGCGAAGGGTCACTAAGAGGGTGCTTCCACATGAACATGCCTTCTCAGCAACAATTTTTATAATTAAGAAGAGGAAGCAATTAGGCTGTCAACATGTGGAGGTGGGGGAAATCCTTCTACAGGCCTGCAGGCCTACTTGGAGCTTTGGTCCAATGGCCAGCAGCTGGACATTTGCCTCCAAGCAATTAAACTGCCCCTTGTCACACTAAAAAACTGGAGAATGAATGGGAAATCCTGGTTGGTTTCTGCTGACTGACCTTAACAAGGCTTTAATGAGACTCGTTGGTTGTCTTTTTCATAGGGGTTAGCAGCCACGTTGGTCCTCAAACCCATCTCCCTTAAAAATGTCACCACTAAGAATGGGATCAGGATACTGCCACACTGGCTACTGTTCATATTTTTGGTCTCCTTTTGTTCCTGCTCTCGACATCAGTGGGGCCTGAAAATTCTGTCCCTGAATTCTTCTCAAGAAGAATGGGTAGAATCTGCATCCCTCATGAGGAAAAGGTCAACGCATGAGCTAGTGTTGGAGTTGCACTTATCCAGGAAAGTGAAAAATATTCCATCACAAACCTGACTCACACCTTGTATATAGTGGATAGGCTTTGGGGAGTTAAGAAGTGAGTTACTCGCTGCAGGATTCCTAACCTCTCACCAGCTCTTGCAACCACCAGACCTGACACCCATCCCTCCCTCACCATGACACTCGATCCTAGTTCTTCACACAAGGTCTGGTCCATCATACTCCTCACCCACTTTCTCTGCTCTAAGGTGAACAATCGCAGCTTCTCTCGTGCCTCCACATAATTGAAGCCCTCATCACGCACACAGTTATTGCAAATCTTTTCTGAATCCTCTCCTATGCTCTCAATGTCCTTCCTTCGATGTGACGTCTCAGAAAATGATGTCTCAGATTTAGCAGTTTATAAAAGGAAAAGCGACTAGGTTACTGCCTTCAAACTCAGATTCATCCAGCTTTTACTCTTTCTTGTTGCAAGTATGGTATTTCACATGCAAAATAACTTTATTGCCCTATTATACTTCAGATTTTAAATTGCACCATTAAATATTATTAAATATAGCCATGTTATAATAGGGACTTGACAAATAATAAGTTTAAAGAAAAACTCAAGAACCTCCTCAAATACTTTCATTATGTTGCTCATAATTAATAAGTAAATGAAAGAAGTTTACTTCTGTACAATATAAATTACTTTTGAGAGTACACTTAATATTCTGAATAACTACTGCTATAATGTAACAAACAGTGTAATTATCCTTCAGTTGAAATAAGGAAGTAATATAAAGGCAATCATAGGATAAAACCACAGATGAAATGATTCAAAGCTCCAGCTGGCTTTCTGGAACTGTTCCATGTTCTCGAAAATATAGTTTGTCTGGAAGAAAACTTAAATTCCAAAGAACTTTTTCCTGAAATATGAATTCAGAAAATTTTCTTGGAAAAAAACAGCTACATTACAGCAAGCAGTAAATTTTTACATATAAAATGAAGGATGTTCCAGAACACAAGTTAAAATTTAATCTTGCTGTTTGGTTTTCTCTTTCATACAGACAGTCCCAGATTTATGAACATCTGACTTACGAACACTCGTACTTGCGAACACGATATCATACAAGGGTGTTGTGATAATATTTTAAATATCCAACATACGAACATTTCCTCATATTTATGAATGGCTATTTCATATTGTCCAGTATTGTGTTCTGACTTGCTAGCAAATCAACTTAATGAACATACTCAAGAACAGAACCTGTTCACAATCTGGGGAATGTCTGCTTTGTTACTTATATATATTTTCTAACCAACATGTTCAGCAATGTTATTAGACACCTCTGAAGCAGGTGGGACTTGAATTCAGGCCTCGTGATTCAAAGGCAGGGACACTATTACTGTACCACAAGAGCCCTTTTGTTCATATGATTTAACTGCATCTTACTCTTGCATATGTTGTTGCGAAGAAGTGCAATAAATTAAGAAAACATTAATTAATTCATTTTTATTTTGGGAGAAATTCCATAACCTCAAGGTCTAATTTGAGACACATATAACTCGTCAACATAAGCCTTCTTATCCGGGTGCCCTGAATTAATGACAACTTGGATACAATTCAAGGGGAACTTTTGAAAATTAAACATCATCCTACATGACCCCAACCTACCTCACTGACCTCAGCACTGCTAGTTGGTAAATGTGCATTAAATAAAAATAATAAGGTCTTGCTGTTTAGTTCAGTAGGAACCACAAGTCCCTGAGATTTCTGGATTTCCCACCCTTCCTCCCCACCAAAAACATAACTCTATCTGAAAGACACTCACTTATTATCATTTTAGACAGCATTTTCTATGTTAAATTAGTAACTGAGAAAAACAGTGGTAATGATGAAAATAAACAACTTGCAAATAATGTTTTCAGACACTTTCAACTCAACTAAACTGGTATTCCAGTGCATTACTTTCTTAAACATCTTGAAATCACTTGGTGCTAAATAATAGTGTGACATCATGGGATTTGACAATATGCAGAAGATATACAATGCCAAATATGGGCTCAACTGTCCTCACTTTTTTAGAATCACAATTTCAACACAGAAATAAACTATTTTGCTTACTGTCTACTGATCTACTGTTCCAGTTTCCAGCTGTATCCCTTACTACCTTTTTAAGTATTCATCTATTGCCACTGAAATGGTGTGGCTGAATTGGCTTCAAGATCCCTGTGATAACATATTTTATATTCTAATAGTCTTTTGCATGGAACAAAAAAAATCAACCTCTTGCTTTATGCATCCGATACTACTCTGGATATGATACTCCTTACACAACAACTATAGGAAATAATCTTTTATTACTTACCCTTCCATAATTCTATGTGCTTTTATTTGCTATCCCTTAACCTTTCATTAGTGAGTGCAGCCCTATCCCAAATTGAAAATGGTGCTACCTGTGTGTAAAAGCATTGTCCCACTAATAACATAAACCAGCTGGAATAATGCGGAGTAAGTGAACATGCAAGAAATACATTGATAGACCAATATCTGGTGATATAAGAGCTGTCCTGGGATTACTTTATGAAGTCCAATTTGCAAATTGAGCATTTAGGATATCCTCTCTCTCTCTCTTCCTTCATGTAGTGGCCTTGTTATTGAAGGGTTACGATCAAAGGCAGGTCCTAAAAGTCACCACAGCAAGTACATGGATTAATTTCACAGCACTGGCATCATTAAGCATGGCGTGACAGCCTTCCAACCTGGTGTGGCAGTCTTCCAGCCTTGCATAGCCTCAGCGTGGACTCCTGGTCTCAAGGTGATTCCAGAGCAATCCGCCTCACAAACCTTGAAGTGAAGTCTGGCACTGTCTGGAGCCAAGGTCCAGTGCAGACTGGAGGCTAGGTGCCAGCGTGGTCTGGGTTGAAAGTTGCTCTGGACTTTTATTTCTGCAATGCTGGTTGTTTTATTTCTCTATTTTCTAAGATATTTTGTTTCAAAAATATACTTATTCATAACATAAATCTTTTTATATATACATAGTCACAAATGCAGTTCGTTTCTGTACAGTAGCATATCAAGGAAATGAACAAACATTGGAGTTTGGCTCTATCCTAATAAACCAAAGGCGCCTCTTTCACATACAAGACTATATTTACATACATTTGAGGCATTGGGTGGGTCCAATAACTGAACAGACCTCCATTTAACTTCTGCACAAAGATCTCAGATAGTGGTGTCTCCCCACTGCACCTTGGCAGCAGCTATCACAAGCTTTAGTGCATCCCACAGCACGTAGTCCTGGACCTTGGAATGTGCCAGTTTGCAACACTTGATCGCAGTCAACTCTTTGTTCTGGAAGACCAACAGCGTCTTTCACCATGTTGATGGTCCTTCAAGTACGGTCATCGTAAGCGTACTGTGGCACTTTTGTACCTAACATGGTGCTGTAAGTGGCAACTTATAAACTTTTCATTGTACTCATTTGAGCTGATTCAAATTCAATTCACTACCTGGATGAACTGGAATCTATGCTTAGGGTACTAGTTATGCTTTAAATGATGGTAAAAGATTTGTTACGACATTGATAACCAAAGCAGCTGAATCTATTCATTTTGTTAAAGCCTACTTGGCTGCTCCTACTTTTGTAACTCTGCAGTCAATGACATTCTTTCTACATATTCAACTTTAGTCCTTCATGTTCTTTTCGCCATCTGCCATGCTTACAGGCAAATGACCAGACGAAGGACTCTACTGTATTGTTACATAGTTATTAGATGGCTGTAAGACCCAACACAGAACGGATGGCCATAATGGGAAATTAAACATGATCCTGAATCTTTAAAAGCAATTTACTTTTGAAAAACATTTGCCAACTCAATGCACTTTTGCATCAAAGTTCAACATGACAGTTTCCAAATTGACATGTTTATCACTTACTTTTGGACTCCATCCACTGTTAGTTGGATTAGATCAGAGATTTGTTCAGAGGAAATAAATTTCCAGGCGAGTGTGTTTTCTCTATGCACACCAGGAACCTTTCCATCCTGTTAGTAAATAACAAACATGCAATCAACCATTATCATTCATTACAATATAGATTTATCTGTGTTAAAATCAAAGGCAAAGAATTCTCAGTTCATGTCAGATATCTCTTCTATGAATATACATAATAGGAGCAGAAATACGCCATTCAGCTTCTCGAGCCTGCTATAGCATTCAGTAAAATCATGGCTGATCTGTTTGTGTTTCAAATTTCAATCCATCTCACCCTGGATGATCTTTGGTTTCCTTACCTCACAAGTATCTAGCCAGCTCTGACTGAAAAAAATTCAATGATCCCATTTCATCGCCCTCTAAGACAAAGAGTTTCAAGATTGCACAACTCTGACAGAAATAAAATTTTCCTCATCTCTGTTCTTAAAGAGTAACCCCTAATTTTAAAATAGAGTTCTTAGTTCTGGATTCATCCACAAGAGATAATATCCTTTTCACATCCACCTGGTCAGGGCCATAAGGATCTTACGTTGTGTATACAGGACCTTCATTCAGATCACCTCTTCCTTTTCTAAAGCCCATTGGTAACAAAGCCAGCTCAAACTATCATCACAGACAACCCATTCATTGGCCTTTTTGATTTCATTAGAATTCCATCAACCTACTTGATTACACACTGCACCTGCACACTGATATTTTGTGACTCATTCACTTCCTCCGCCATCGATGCTCAGCAACAACATTATGTACCATCTGCAAGATGCACTTCAGAGTTCACCAAGATTCCTCGACCACTACTATCTAGAAGGACATGGACATTCTTGGGAACAATGCCACCTGCAAGTTCCTCTCCAAGCTGCTCACCATCCTGACTTGAAAATATATCACTGTTCCTCAAGTGTCTCTAGGTCAAAATATTGGAACTCCCTCCATAACAACATTGTGGGTCTATCTACAGCACATAAAATGCAGCGGTTCAAGAAGACGTTGGATGGGCAATAAATGCTGGCCCAGCCAGCAACACCCATATTTCATGATTTTTTTTTAAATGCACTACAACACCCAGATCTCTCTGCACTGCAGATTTCAGCAGTTGTTCTCTGTTTACGTAATACACTATGTTTTTCATTTTCCTTCTAACATACTTAACTCCACATTTCCCCATGTTATACTTCATCTGCCAGATCTTTGCCTTTTCACTCAACCTATCTACATCAGTCTGCAAACTCAAGTGCTCCTCACAACATACTCTCATGCTCATCTTTGCATCATCAACAAATTTAACCATCACGTCTTCTCTCCCTTCATCTAAGTCACTGATGTAAATCATAAAAAGTTGAGATCCCAGCACAAACTCCACAATCTGCCAATGAGGCCAACATCCATTTTCTTCCTGCAAGCTAGCAAGCCAGCCAGCCAACCTTCTATCCATGCTAGTTACCCACAGTTCATGAGGCATTTACTTTTCATAATAAGTTTTGACATGACAGCTTATCAAATATCTTCCAGAAATCCAAGTACAGTAATCTACTGGCTCTCATTTATCATATGTTCCTCCTTCAAAGAACTCTAATAAATTATTAAATATGATCTTCCTTTTACAAAACTATGCTAAATCTTTTCAATTGCGTTTTTCTAAGGTTATACATATATTCTTAAGTCTAGTGGCACAGTGGTAGTGTCTCTACCTCAGAACCAGAATGTCTGGGTTCAAATTCCACCTGCCCTGGATTGTGTCTAACACATCTACATAGGTCGATTAAAATTACTATGTCACCCTCTTTGGCGTCAATTGGCCCCAACCCGCCTCCAACTACCTATTACTTACATGCCTGCAGAAGATTTGATGATGCTCTAGTGGAACGGTACCAATGAGCCATAAGGCTTGGGCTTAAGTCTCACTTGCTTCAGTGGTGTGTCAAAATATATGCGAACAGGTGAATTAAAAATTTCTCTCATGATCAATTCTTTCAGGGTTGATTCTAATAATTTCCCCAACAACGGATATCAAACTAACTGATCTATAATTTTCTGCTTTCTGCGTCCCTATCTCTTGAATACATACGTTATTGTTACAACTTTCTAGTCTCATGGAATCTTTCCAAAATCTAGGGAATTTGATGACCTCATTAGCCATTAGCAAGATTCGTGATCTTGTCAATTGACACTGGATAAAACTAAAAATGTTATTATTACCCATCTAGCCTTTGCCAGCCATTTGGTAAATCAATCTAAAAGTACACCCATCACTCCGTCTTCCTCATTGCTTCTGTTATAAAATACTAAAGCTGCTAAAACTCTTGCGTGACACAGCAGTCTGAAAATTTAATGAATTTTATTCTTATCAGAGTATCCATACCTTTTACAATTCCTGTTATGACTAGCAAATTTATGAAATACAACAATCACATTTCCACTGCTGTCATCACACATCACTGGATGCAATGATAAATTTGTGTTTACTGTATTAATAATTCAAGCTTGCGATTTATGAAAGGCAGTTACGGTTGAGATGTTTGGAAAACAGACTTGGTAAAATAGAATATTAAGGAACACAATAGCAGAAAATGATTTTGTGTGTATGCTTGAAGCTTATTAACTTTAAAAATATCGTTGATATCACAGTCAATATCCACCAAGCTAGAATATGACAACTGTCAAGTAAAAATGAACACCCACTTTACTGCAGAGATTGAAAATTAAGGTCAACACATTTCAACAATATTTTCCAGTGTGGAAAATTCAGCTGTATAATCTGGCTGACAACATTAGCCATACACATAAACACACACTCACTGAAAAATAATACTGGGATAACTGGCTAGAGTTATTGCATTCCCATCTGGGTCACAGTGGTCAAGAGTTCTTTTTTGTGTCACAGAAATATAAGAAACACACATATCTCAAAATTACTCATGATTTCCACGTCATTTTTAAAAACCTAGACATGGAAGTCTAGATAAATATCAAAATAATGGGTTTGAATTCAATAAATAATGTAACATTAAGTGAATAAATTAAGTCAAATAAACTGAGATGAAATATCATGAAGACTGTGTGAGAAATGTGTGACGAAAGTTAGCAGTGGTGAATCCATGTGTTGAAAAAGGAGGGGAGGAGGAGTAAAAAAGAGGGTGTTGAAAGAAGAGAGAAGGGGAGAAACTGGGATATAGTGAGAAGGCAAGTGAGAAAAGATGACAGGAAAGGATGTTGCTCAATAGGGGAAAGGAACCAAAAGAAGGGGAGGGTGGGCTAGTGTCTGCATTTTACTAAAATTGCTGGTACTTAACCTGTAATCTATGTTGCTGTTTTTCTTTAGTTTGTGTTTGCTAACTGGCTTTCAGCCTGCTTCAGAATGTAGCATTTGTGTTTGATTACTATTATGTTAAGATATGCATAACTCCTGGAGGTTTGGCTGATATATCAACAGCACCATCTTTGAAAAGCTGCATTTGTAACTGCCAGCAGTGGATTTATTAGAGAATGATAAACTCACAGTATAGAAGGATACCACTTGATTCCATCGTGATGGTTCTGGCACTTAGAATGAGGTATCCAATTAGGTCCACTTGCCCCTCTTTTTCTTTCATCCCTGTATTTTTTCCCCTTTAGGAATTTATTCAGTTGACTTTTGAAAGCTATTACACTGTCTTCTATGCAATACATTCCAGATCATCAATTGAGTATTACAAAAAACTCTTATTTTCACTTTTGCTTCTGTTGACAATCATTTGAGTTTGAGACCCCTGGTTACCAACTCTGCAAACACTGCAAACAGCTTCTCTTTATGTCCTATTCCAGTAAACCTATTCTGCATCACTTCAAAGTTTTAGCATCCTTCCTGAGTATAGAACACAGAATTGAGCACAATGCTTCAGCTGACACCCACCAGTGACAAATAATTAAAGTCAGGATGTGACACCATGAAACAACAATCCACTGTCTCCCAGGAATGTCACAGATTAATTTCCTCTGGAGATCTCCCTTCATGCATTCAATCTCATAATCCTCAACAATGGAAAGTTTGCTTATACCTTCTTCCCAAGATCTACAAACGGGGCTGCTCTGGCAGAACCACACCCTTTTAGCTCGATCCTGCCCAATAAAACGGCTTTCTTATCAACTAACATCTATCTTGCAATCTCCCTTTTTCCCAACTTACATGTGAATCTTCCAATATCCTCTGCTTCTTTCTTGAAAGAGAGACGCACATAGTCGTCCTTCAGTAACACCCATTTCCATCTGGCCGAGTTTGTTCTTGCATTTTAAGAACATAGGAAGTAAGAGCAGGAGTAGGCCATCTGGCCCGTCGAGCCTGCTCCACCATTCAATAAGATCATGGTTGACCTTTTCATGGACTCAGCTCCACTTACCTGCCCGCTCACCACAACCCTTAATTCCTTCATTGTTCAAAAATCTATCTTCATCTTAAAAACATTCAATGAAGTAGCTTCAACTGACCCACTGGGGAGGGAATTCCACAGATTCACAACCCTTTGGATGAAAAATGTTCCTCCTCAAATCAGTCCTAAATCTATTCCCCCTTATTTTGAGGCTATGCCCTCTAGTTCCAGTTTCATCTGTCAGTGGAAACAACCTCCCTGCTTCTTATCTATTCCCTTCATAATTTTATATGTTTGAGATTTTTGAACAACATTTCTCTTTATGTACTTGTTCCAAATAAAAGGTGTTGCAATGATAACTTGTCCTAGTTATTTCTGACTATTTTGTGCGATATGTAGAATATTCTTTGTACCACTCCTACTCAGCTCCCCTCCTTTACCTTTTTTCCCAGTATATTGATAACAGTACTCACACAGTTTTCTGCTTTCACTCCAAATTGGAAAATTCCAAGAATTTTCACCAATCTGTGGTCTTTGTATGACTATCTCCAACTTTATTCTTCTTTTCCTTGCCTTTCCAATTCCCACTTTTGAAGATCGGATAATGGTCAATATTCACTGAAAGCTCATTGACTCCTATAGCTATATTCACTGCACTACTTAACTTCCTGCATCCAGTAGTGACGATATTCCATTCTCCCAGCTTC